GAATACCCGAGGATTCATTCTCAAATATCAGAAATTGCATAGGCATCGCTAGGGGTTTTATGCATGATTTGAGCAGTGTAAAGAAGGGAAATGCCTCACTGGAAGCTGTCTTGTTATTCGTTCCTGATGGCTACCACTGCGTGGATCTCTATCTATATAAAGTAATGATCTTAAGAGTTTCCATGTTTATGCCGTTAATTTTCATAACTGGTTGTCTATATGACCTTTTGTTGTCGAAAACAGGAAAGTCAAATCGTACTATTATTAAACGAATCAACTACCAGTTCTGAAAGCTCCAGTAATGGTTGTATGATGATTGTACAAGCGAGTGACCTTCCCTTTGTATCTATTTCAAGATCCACTGGTCTAAACCGTTGGAATCTGCATGAACTGAAGGTATATTCTTGTTGAGTTTGATAGAGTGACCTGATATACATGGGTTTATTGTGCTTGCAAAATCTATCAGTTTTGTTGTGTTGGCATGTCTCTGAAATTCTACTTTCTGTGAAATTGAACTTCTGCTTCTCCTCACATGCAGTTGTAGGTTAAACTTACCTCCTACAACTGACTGCTCACCTTACTGCATCTCTTTCATTGTTTTAGTTGCTTGTCCAATTTGCCTTCAAGATAAACTTTTAGCTCACAAATATGTTATTTCTGGGACTCTGTCGTGTACCTGCAGATGGAGAATGAAAAGGTTCAGAATATTCCTCACTTTGTGGTTGCTCCCTTGGCGGTCAGTGGTAAGTGCTTCTCACCTCATCTCATACCTCTATTTTTAAGAAGTTTTATAAAGAACAAGAACTTTTATTTCTGCCATATTAAATTGAACTTCTTTTGTATGGAGTCTTAGTTACTCTCTAGATGCCCGTGGTATGTGGGATATGTATTTGACATGCATCCAAATCGGTTATAAAAAAAATAAAAAATAAAGGAACAACAACAATTGAAGGCCTTAGCCTCAACTTAAGAAGATATGCCAGCCAAGAGTGCAAGCGGTGCACAATCCCAAAATGAAGATTTTGTTGCAGAACATGCAATGTTTAACGAAGGCAATTCATTGAAGCAATGTCGTCAAGGCTTATTCTTTTTTCTCCGTGTTAGTCCTGCCTTCACAGAATCATTTTTAGAATCAGATGAAGATGATTTCAAAACTGATGCATGTTCACAGATGCACACTTCAAGACTACTTCAGCTTAATAATGTAAGACTCAATGTTCGATTCATTAATATTTATTTGTTTGTTATATTCCATCTACTAGTTATTTATTTGTTTGTTTATTTGGTATGAACACACTACTATTTAGTTTTTTGTTTATTTTGGTGAACAAGAAAAAGAAATGACAAAGAAAGCATTAGTGTTAAAGTAAAACCAATATTTTGGCAAAAATTTGACACTTAAAGAAGGAAGAAGCATTCAAACCAATAAAAAGGCTAGTAGTTATATAGAAAGATAACAAAAATAAGGAAGAAGCATTCAAATGGTAATTGACACTTAAAGAAAGAATACCATTCGGCGAAGATCAAGTCTTTCTCATGAAAAGTTTCTTGGGATTTTTCTTGATACATGTTTATTCTCTTGATTGATCTCCTGCAAACATAATTTGCATGGTTTATTGGTTCTTAGTTGGAGATCAATTCTCAGATGGCTGGCTGGAAGGACACCTCAAAAAAGTGTTTTTGACGTATGGATAGAGGTAAAACAATAATCTGTTAACTGTTTAATTGTCATTTTTGGCATTATCAATTTGCATATAAATTCTCTTTTTATTACTATTACTATTTTTTTTTCTGGATAGATTTTTCAAAAGAGAAAAGTAAAATGAGAAAGGAAGACAGCTAGTGGCTGCAGCAGCATCTCCAATGAATTTGACTTTCTGCACTCCATGATTTCTAACCGGTAGGTTAAGAACTCCAGTTAAAACTTTCATTTTTTCTTTCATCATTTCTAGTGAAAGGTCATCTATCTTGACTGTTCAATGATTGCCAACTATCCAGCGAGGGCTACAATTTAATTTTAGATGGGACCCAAGAAAATAGTTTGCAACTTCACTATCATGATCCAGGTATGCGAAAGACTGTAAGTCATAATTGCAATAAAAACCTTTTGTGCTATGAAATCTGATATGGACCGATAAAGTAGCTTCCCTTTGACAAATAGGATTTGTGACAACTGACAACATGTAATTCGGAACCATAGGTTGGGAGTTAGAGCTGAATACGCCTTAAACTTAGTTGAAAGAGGACATTCCGGGGGTGAAAATTGAAAACAGCCCCGAACCACTGTGTGGCTCTCACGGACAGCTTCCCCTTGACAAATAGGACTTGTGATAACTGACGGTATGTAATTAGGACGCATAGGCTTGGAGTTAGACTCGAAAACACCTTAAACTTGATCGAAAAAGGGCGTTTCGGGGTCGAAAATTCAAAACAGCCCCCGAACCATCGTGTAGCTGTCATGGACAGCTTCCCCTTGACAAATAGGACTTGTGACAACTGACGGCATGTAATTCGGACCCATAGGTTGGGAGTTAGAGCCGAATATGCCTTAAACTTAGTCGAAAGAGGGCGTTCTGGGGGCAAAATTTCAAAATAGCCCCCAAACCACAATGTGGATCTCACCAACAGCTTCCCCTTGACAAATAGGACTTGTGACAACTGTCAGAATGCAATTAGGACGCGTAGGCTTGGAGTTAGACCCAAAAATGCCTTAAACTTAGTCAAAAGACGGCGTTCCGGGGGCAAAAATTCAAAACATCCCCCGAACCACCGTGCGGATCTCATCGGCAGCTTTCCCTTGACAAATAGGACTTGTGACAACTATCAGAATGTAATTAGGACGCGTAGGCTTGGAGCTAGACTCGAAATTGCCTTAAACTTAGTTAAAAAAGAGCGTTTCGGGATCGAAAATTCAAAACAGCCCCAAAACCACCGTGTGGCTGTCACAGATAGTTTCCCCTTGACAAATAGGACTTGTGACAATTGATGGAATGTAATTAGGATGCGTAGGCTTGGAGTTAGACCCGAAAATGCCTTCAACTTAGTCGAAAACGGGCGTTTTAGGGTCGAAAATTCAAAACAGCCCCCGAATCACCGTATGGCTCTCACAGACAGCTTCCCCTTGATAAATAGGACTTGTGACAACTGACGGCATGTAATTCGGGCTCATAGGTTGGGAGTTAGAACCGAATACACCTTAAACTTAGTTGAAAGAGGGCTTTCCAGGGGCGAAAATTCAAAACAGCCCCCGAACCACGGTGTGGTTCTCATGGACAGGTTCCCCATGAAAAATAATTTAGGTGACAATAGACGGAATGTAATTCGGACCCATAGGTTGGGAGTTAGAGCCGAAAACGCCTTAAACTTAGACGAAAAGGGACGTTTTGAGGGGGAAAATTCAAAATAGCCCCTGGGAGGGGAAAACTTGGGAGTAGGAGACATAGGTTGGGAGTTAAAGTTGAAAATGCCTTAAACTAAACTAAAAAATTGCATTTCGGGAGGGGAAAACTTGGGAGAAACTTGTCTGGACATGCAACATACGATTATGACTATAAATACACAATTTTGAAAACATTATATACATTCTAGTTTTATATAATTTTCTTTTATAATTTGAAATGATAGTGTTATTCAATCAATACTAATGGTTAATTTTATTTTTACAGATGGTTTTTGGCGTGGAAATGTGAATATTCTTTATTTGTGTGTGGAGGACATTGCTTTTTTTTATAATCTATTATTATGTTGTCCTTTATTTTTTGTGGATTACTATTGTTCATAAAGATAACTATTGGCATCGTACAAATTAGTTTTGGCATAGAACATATTACATTTGGCGTGGTACAGATTACCATTTGACATGGTATTGTGGATATTTCTTTTTTTGTGTACGGAAGGCATAGTTTTTGTATAATCCTCTGTTTTGTATAGAATTATTATTTTAAATTAGATTATGCTTGGTTTGTATGGAATTTCTATTATATTTTGAATTTGACATTAAAAGTTAAATTTTCTTAGATTGTTATTATTTTGCTTATATACAAGTTGCATAGAATAAATACAAGGCGAAATTAATATAAAACAAAATTGAAGAAAGTTTTTAGTGACTAAACATTTAGTAGCCAAAAATAAGTGAAGTTGTTGACGACGAACCAAATTGGTAGTCAAAAGGAAATCAAGGTTTTTTGGCGACTAAATATTTGGTAGCCAAAAGAAATCAAAGATTTTTGGCGACTAAATAATTAGTAGCAAAAAAAAAAAAAACAAAAAATAAATTTTATAAACGTTACCAATGACTATTTGTTTTTATAAATGTGATGTAATTTGGATAGTTTCTTTATAGATGATGTATTGTGAATGTAAATTTGATTTTGGTAATCCATGTATGTGTAGATTATTGATGTGTAAGGTTGTAAATTTGATTTTGGATGCCGATCTATTCGGCATAAAATGCATCCATATTGCAAGAGTACAGAACAATTGATTGCACAAATAATTGTGAGATTGGAACATTGCCTAGTGCCTAATAGATTCACTATGATTTGATTGTATACAATATTTAAGCAAATTATACAAGGATGCCAAACTTTGGCATGTTTTTTTTTTTTTTTTTTTTGCCATGGGCTCCAAAATGATTGGCAAATTGATTGGTGTAATCACTTTTTTTTGCAAGAATTGATTGACTAATGGGTCCCCAATCAATTTTCAAATCTATTGGAAAATGCACTGCCTTGATAGAAATCAATTGGCCAATCCATTGGCCATAATCCAAATAAAGGCTAAAACCCAAAATCTTGAGTGTTTAGTCAGGCTATGGGCTTCCAAATTAGGTTTTTTTTTTATAATGACAAGGTTTGAAGTTAACAAATTGTATAATTCACAATCTCCTCATAAATTACTATTCAATACATTAAAACATCAAGCAAAATACATCATATTTCAAACATCAAGCAACTTATCCTCATTGACAATTTTCAAAATTTTAGAAAAAGATAAATAAATAAAGAAAAAGGCAATATACTACCATATTTCAAACAATAAACAACCTGGTGAGGTCATATTCACCAAAACACCAACCATAAGAATTTTTTTATACACAAAACATATCATACTAAACTCCCAAAAGTAAGCAAAAAGTGTTCATAAATAAATTGGGACAACCACAAAACCCATAACATATTCAACTATCAATTTAGTCTAAGCATAGTAAAACAATGAAAAGGCCAAGGTCAAGGCTCCTTAGAAAATTCATCTCCGTCTTTAACATCTTCTGTTCCCAACTCTTCTTCGTCTCCCTCATCATCATCATCTACATCTCTTCCCAACTCTTCTTCGTGTCCCTCATCCTCACCTTGTCCTCCATCCTCGTGAGGGATATCCACATTTTTTTTTTGCCAATTCATTCAATGTCACTTACACATATTTTAGATCAGTCTTTTCTTTCTCCTACATCTCTTCTGAGATTCTCAAACTTGAATGTTGTCCTCCTTAAATTTCAAACCAACATGTAACTCTTCCATCTTTGAGTTTAAGCTCTCCATATCCAATCTGGTAGCAAATACAGTTGCTTCCAAATGCTTGATCATAGCATCTGTGTGAAAAACAATAAGCAAGTCTATTAATAAAAATTTAGATCAGAAGCCAATTGCTATTATCATGTGATAAGACTTACAACTCCTAGACATTAATCCACTAAAAAACACTTCAAGCACATGAGTATAGAAGTATGCCTCTGTTTCCAATTGGAATAGCTTATGTTTCCAATTGGAATAGCTTATGTAAAACTCCAAATGCATTAAAATTCATTAAATAAATCATTAAGTTAAATGTGTGATATTACTACTCTCACTAATATAGGAAGAGCATGGTGGCAGCAGTAGCAAACTGGTAATAGAAACCAAGCTCAATTCAACTCACTCAACACTCCTTATTATTACAACAACTGTTCAGATTGTCTTCAAATGTTAATGATATTATGACAACCCATATTTTGGTCAAATCTATTAATTTCTCAAATAAGGAAAGGTGGTCACGTGAGGCATGGACCTCGGCTACACCTTACTCTAGGCAAGATGTGAACCATTAGGTATGTTAACCTCAAAGTGTTTTCATGTAGCTTTTTTAGGATGCAAGCTTTAATTTGCTACTCATTAATACATTATTTCAATGAATTGGTCTTGAACCAAAGTGATTTGAGTCCTGATGGGGTAGCCAGTGCAGAAACAAACCATAAACAGAAGCAATCAATGAAGACGCTACCTTTTTCCTCAATGACATTGGTAGTTTTGCACTGTTCATCTCTGAAATATTTCTCCCTCTCCTCTTTTTCAATGCTGTGTTCTTTCAACTCTCTTTTGCCTACATTCAGAATTCAAACACATTTCATTACTCTGAAAAGAAGTGAAGCAAATGGAAATACCTGGTTCTTTGCTTACAAATTTATGATAAGCTTCTGTTTGGCAGCATCGACAGCTCTTATTGTTGGAAATTATCTGAAAACTTTTTATGATATAGGAAATAAGGATAACTTACAATTTCCAACAATTTCCTCTGAAGACTCAAATCTCAAAGACGACGTCTTCATTTGGTTGTGCAAATTATCAAGAGCTGTTGCACTGGAAGATAGCTTATCTTCAAAAAATTCCTTGTCTTTTTCAGCTGGTAAAGCAGATGTAGAATACTTACAACTTCAAAAAATATCATAAAGCCAGTTGTCGGAAAGTTGAATAAACTAAAGAATACCTACCATCATGAACCTCATTGTGCCAACACAGTTTTTTTTTAGTCAGGCATTTTTTTCAAACAGTTAGAGGACCCTTAATATCATATAACATTTATAGACTACCATCTATTACATATATACAGATATACATAGCATGTATATATTGATGAGAAATAAATATATAGGAGAGGCTGAAATGTCCAATTGAAATTAAACTAATTTGAATCAAATTGAATATTTAAAGGACAATTAAAATTAGAGGCTGAAAGTGGCATGAACTTATTTTAGGAAGCATAAACGTATTTTATTTGGAAAACAAGTTAACTTTTTTTAGGTTCAAGATACTTACATGGTCCAGGAGGAGATTTCCATGCCTTTCTTCCATCTTCCTTACCTGCAACGACAGATAAGAGCAATGATCCAAATCCAAAAACAATTTCAAAATGGGAACAACAAAAAAGTGCTAGAAACAATTGCATGTTCTAAAATTACTATTAGATGATGCACTAACGTACTTCCTGTAAGTCTCTGTCTGAGTTTTCAACACATGGTACTGTTACAAAATTCATGGAGCTTCGGATAGTTAGCTAAATTGATGCAAAAAAATTCCTATGTATTCATTGTAGACACAAGAGGAGAGATTATGAGGGAGTAGGAGAAAGCATTGAAGCAGCAAAAAATGGGAAACTCACACAAGGAGAATAGGAAGATTGAAATGACGTTATGTATATAAAAAAAAATGTAAAAGAATAATTTAAAACATAAGGGAAAAAAAAGTCCAAAAAGGCTGTTCACACCAACTGTATAGACAAAAGAAATCATTAATGAGCCTCTAGGGTGGCCCAGTGTCAGGCCCTTATGCCCAGCTCACCGAAGTTGGGGGTACAATCCCCAGCTCTACCAATTAGTGATGTTGTACCGTGCAAGATAATTTATTTATAGCTTTCGAAAAAGGTCTCCAATGAAATTTTGATGAAATTGCAACAAATCAATGGAAAAGATATGAAAAGGAGATAAAATGGAAAAAAAATAAAATTGTGACTTGAATCGGAAACCAATATCTTAGATCACAAATAAAGGGTTCTAGATCTTTGAGAAAAGTAAAAAAATGTATGTGCCTGGGAGTTAAGTTCAAACACACTCATCATCATGTGCCAATTGGATCTATAGAATGATGTGGATTTGCAAAAAGAAGAAGTAACACTTTTTCCATGACTTGAGTCAATGAGCAATCAATTGCAGCATTTACTGTTACCGACTTGATGCATTTAGATGCATATGCATTTTTTGACTGTGTTAACCACGCAACACTATGTACCATAAATCATAATAGACCTTATAAAAGTCGTATAAAACAAGCTAGATTTCACACTTGGCTGCTAACCTTTGCTATAGAGATTAAAAATAAGAAGTGATCTATTTTGCACAAAAAACTGTAAATGTAAAGGTGATAAAAAGAAGCGATGATGAAGAAGAAAAATAATTGAAGGGAAGAGAAGAGGAACAAAATTCTACCCGTGAGCCACACAATACGATAGTTCTCAACCATCTAAGCCCGCAACTCTTACCACATCGCTTCAAACCTACATTTATGAAGACAAAAAAAAAGAAAAAGAAAAGGTAATGTCTCTTTTTCTCATTTCTTTCTACTATCATTATACTATTTAGCTTCTAAATTGAAATTTCAAATTTATTCTACTCATGTTTAAAAGAATCAAGCACATTCTTAAGTTGAAAAAAATTTCAATTATAAGTTAAGTAATCCCAATTTTTTTGGGTTAAAAAAGTTGAAAAAATCAAATAATCTAGAATCTAGAATTGTAATCAAACACCATTAATTGACCTTTTTTTAATCAAATAACAAAATATGCTTGCTCTCAGTTTCCAGCTTTGTTTTTGGACTGCTCTTATTTTTGTTGTCCAATTGTCAAACTGTCTAACTCACAATCACACAGACTTCAGACAAAAATTTCAAAAGAGAAAGGGAAATAAAGAATCATTTTCTTCCATAAATGTCTCAAATTCTTAATATGAATAGAACGTAAGGAAGTAGTTTATTTCTTGTACTTGATTTCTGACCTCTGTTCTATTTTGTGGACAAACAATCATATGAAGAGACAAAAAAAGTCACCCAAACAATCCTTCCCCTTCCCCTTCCCCTTCCCTCACCCCTCACTACAACAAATTTGCTAGTCAATAGATATTTCAGCTTTTGTTTCACACTATTGTACAATTCCAAGTAATCTCTTGTGGTCAACCATGACAATAATTTGAATTTTGGTGGCACAACACTGCACAAATGCCCAAGTCCTTCAATAAAAAAACTGAAACAAATTTAAAATTCAGGGTCTGTTTGTTTGCCCATAGTGTAGGTGGAAAGATAATGAAACATTAACTGATAAACTTATGTACTTGCAATTCTTTAGCATTCAGTAACTAAAACTACTCATCATGAGTTCATTGATAGAGATCAATAGCATTCTTTTTACACTCCTCTCATTACACTCTCCTATCTCATCAATTCTTAATAACCCTAGAAATTGTCGTCTCTACCTATACCAAAACGCAATAAAACTCAAACCCTAGCATAATTTTTATCTACAAATTTAAACAATTCTCTTATCACACTTCCAATCATAGTTGACCAAAAAACCAAAATTCACATGTATAAGCAATATATAGGTCAAAATAAAGAGACCCATCTTCCAATTGAAGACAGCCAGAGAGGGGCAAAAATAATTTCCTTTTTTTTTTTTTTTCCATTAACGAAGAACAAGAAAATTAAAATTGGATTTAGAGAAGTATATAACTACAGAAAATTAGGAGGTAAAAATAAATAAAAAAAAAAACTCATCTAGCTCAGCAGTGCCCAAAATTTATACATCCATTCAAAACACACAAAGTGCAATATCTAAATTCTCAACATAAAGTTGAAATTTTGGTAGTTAAAATATTTGTAAATGCCCTTGCAGTTTTCTCAACATCTAAGTTCTCAACATAAAGTTGAAATTTAGGTAGTTAAAATATTTGAAAATGCCCTTGTAGTTTTCTCAACATAAACTTGAAGTTTATGAGGAAAACATAAATGTCAAGTATTTTGATAAATGGCTCCTCCAACACACATCCAAGCAAATGCTGTAGAAAAAAGGAAAGAATATGCATAACAGTTTGTATAAAGGACATTGGTTCCAAAATCAACTCAATTATCATTCCACTTGTGATTGTTCAGTCATCATGGATAAGCAAACACAGTTTTTTTTTTTTTTAATCAGGCATTTTTTCAAACAATTAGAGGACCCTTAATATCAGATAACATTTGCAGACTACCATCTATTACATATGTACATATATACTTAGCATGTATATAAATAATATGTACGAGAGGATCTTGGCAGGATAATACTACTAGGATGCTTGTTATATTTGATTCAAGGTTTAAGATATTGTTATTTTAACATGCTTCATAATTTTCCACTTTGAACTCCTTGTGTTGAGTTAAAGCTTAGATGGATAGAGGACATTATAAACTTTGTATTAAGTAGCCCACAACTACATTTCTACTCCCACAAGAACTTATTAAATAAAATAAAAATTAAGGTGAATTTAGGCATTCTAAACAATTATTTGTCTTTTTTATTACTTTAGTTTTTCATGAGAATCCTACTTAATACACCTATGAATACAACAATCATTCCAAAATAGAAAAATGATTCAGTAGAGAAAAATAACTCATTAGAAATCATAATCATAAAGTTCCCTATCCAAAAATGCATACCACAAGTTTTTTTTTTCAAGTAATGCTAATTTCCCTTTGACTTTGAAGTATATTCCAACATCCCAACATAATAATTTTTTTTTTCAGAACCGCCTTTAGGCAAAAGGTAATTCATTGTTACATATCAAAATAATTTTACTCACATCTGTGGTTACCAGCCTTAATTTGCATGTGGTTCAAAAAACAAATTTCCATATATTGAGAAGAACCAAAGAAATAGAAAAAGACCATTTTTTTAACTCATCAAAAATATCTTTGCCTTGTGGACTCTAGAGCTCCTGAGAGTGATAGCTAAGTTTGCTTCCTCTGAGCTAGTTTTTAGTCAATTGGGTAATGTTTGAGCTGTTGGAAAGCCTAATTTGGTGAGCTACAGAGGTGCAACCAACCATTCTGGCTACTACTCTGTTTGTAACGTCTATGCTTTTAAGGATTGCCAAATGGGATTGATTCATCAATCCCCTCTCCTCTGAATATCCCTTAGTAACCCAAGCTGGTATGGTGCGTGGATTAAATTTAGACCCAATAGAACCAATGTAAAGGAGTCGGCTTATCAGTTTCACAATTACATGAAACTAAGGCAGAACAAGTTACTTCCCTTTTCATTTTATTTCTCACGAGGCACTATGAATTACCAAAATGCAGAGAATTCAATAAAAAATTGATAAAGAAATGGAAATCATACAGTTTCAGCTTCAGCTTGCATAGCTTTAAATTCTGCCCCTATTGTAGTCAATTCTGTCAGCCTCGTCTCCTCTTGCTTTTTCATTACCTCAAACACCTAAACCAGCATCAACACAACACTAGGAGAAGAGAAGGAAAAACAAAAACAAAAAAAACACAAAAAAAAAAAAGACCATTAACAAAACAGAAGCTGAACTTCCAAAACCCACCATGGATTTTCTTCACAAAACGCACTAATAACAGAGGAGCTCAGCTCTAGCTCTAGAGAACAGCCATGAATGGGATTATGGAACTCGACTGTACCAACTGTAAGAATTTCACAGACTAATAAATTATATATTGATTTGATTGATGATATACCTATGGAGAAAGGTATGGTATGTCTTGAAGGAGAAGAAAAGGGTCACACACACACACACACACAGATTTTGTAGGGTTTCTCTTAAATGGCGGTTTGTGGCTGCGTTTATATACCGGCCGCTGAAATTTTACAACCAGTTTTACAGTCACAAATAATTCCAGTTGACAAGGCACCATACATGAAGATGAACAAATAGAACAAAGAAGAATCAAAAAGGGAAAAGCCTCTATTTCACAACAAATAAATTATGCATCCTTATCCACTACTAGCAAAAACAGACAAGCTTCACTATTAATCAAACAGAAACCCCACTCTTATATCTTCAAACTTCTTACCCCTTTAATAATGAACCAGAAATCATTTTATGCAACTGGCATTCTATGAATAAGATAGAACCACCATAGAATCATGACTTGTTTTCAAGTTTTTGAACACTAAAGAAATACATGTAAACAAAAAACACCACTAAACATTAAATCTAAGCAGATTTTGTAGACAAAACATAAAGTAATTATGAACAACTCTAAAGTTGTTTATTCTTTTTTAGTCAATCTTTAAATTTCTGCCAAATCATATATTTTAAGAAATATTAACGCAATCCATGAAATAATTTGGAGCAGTAAGCAATCCATGAAATATCTGGTGATTACAAAAAATATAAACGCAAACGTCACACACATAAATCAATTTATATAAATTTTTTGGTAAGAGTGCAAAGGCACACAGATACAAAATGTGAGAAACAGTTATGCACATGTACAAACCGTGAAACAGACTATATGAAATGTGATGTGACTAAAATAAAACAAAACAAAGCTGCAATTGTTATACCACAATGGGGAAATCATTGACTTGAACTAATTTACCGGCTACAAAAAAGTAAAAGACAGAATGACGATTGTTAAAAGCCTCCACATCTATAAACATTGTATTAAGTTTATCTTAACCTAGAACAAAACAACGTAGACAAAATTATATTGCAAAATTTAATTGATTGGGTTTTTCGGGGCATAACTATATCATGCCAATTTTATGATTCACAAGACCAAAAAGAAAAGGGGGGAGGAGGAGGGAAGGTAATACTTTAACAAATATGAGCTTCAAAGTTGCAACTCAGTCTCTTGTGTGCTTCTGTAAGTTGAGCTCACATCATCCTCAATTGGTTGGATAATTCCTGTCCATAACAATTTAAATAAGAGATGTCAAAAAAGTTCACTAGGATTCTAGCAATGAATAAGAACTCAAATTCAAAACATTACGGTGACAACAGTGACAAAGGGCTAACCTCAATTCATTGGGTGTTGCGAAAGGAGGGGAAAAAAAAAACGTTAGTTCTTTCATGAGGGTTAATCCCTTAAGATTTAAAAGATTCATCAAAATAAACACAAACCTTGAACCCAAAAAGTCTTGTATATTTACATCATGGTCCAACTTCTTAAAGGTTTTCTTCAGTGCCTATATTCTCAAATAGAACACTAAAAGGCTTGAATGAATATGATACGTTTATCATTTCATATTTAATGAAAACAAATATTCTCAAATAGAACACTAAAAGGCTTGAATGAATATGATACGTTTATCATTTCATATTTAATGAAAACAGAGAAAGAAAGAATGAATTGGTGTACTAGAGAACAGGCAGTATTAATCTTACTTCAAGGCTCTCCAACTTCCTGGTCATTCAAATAAAAATTATTTAGTGACATTGTGACAAACGCAGCTCAAATTTAACCAAAAAAAAAACAACTCTTCATCCTCATAGATTTAAAGTATATCTGCACTGACCCTTTCATCTTTTCTTGTGGTGTCAGTTGAGCGAATTTTGTAATAACCTCTTCAATGTTGCTGAACAAAAAAACACATGATTTCAAGAAATGATAAATGGTGCACATAAATCCAAGTGAATTTTGTTCAATTTTTCATGTCATACATCAAAATTCACAAACATTTTTATATAGGCACAATTGGAGACTTGAAAATACCTGTGCTCTCTGCGGAATAATGTTGCCTTTCTAGTTGGAGAAAACATGATGTAACGCCCTCAAAATAAACCTATAATATATATATCATTGACATGCAATATTAAAAGAAAGCAATTCATTATCTCATTCATCAGAGTACTACTATATGAAAACATTACATGTAACATCAAATTAAATGCCCTATAGGCTTACATCTTTCCAAGCCAACACTTGGACACAAAAATATGAGTTCTAACTCAAATACAAATAAAGCCCTAGGCTTGAATGTTTATCAAATAAAAACAAATAACTAAAGATAGTCTTCAAAATCCAAATCCTTCCAAGCTAAGTCCTTGGAGGTAGCTTATCACCTGGACCTGAAAATGATGTTCCCATAAAGGGTGAGCCACAGCCCAGTAGAAAAATACTAAACCAAATATAAGCATTGAATAAAGCTATAGCATTCAATAGATGGTTAACCAAGATAATCAATTACATCATTATACAGTTTCATGACACTAATGTCTATGACACGTTTCACTTTTCTTTATTATCAATATGGCTCAGAACCAGGCCAAACTTGCAACAGTGAACTATATATGTTATATTCACATTACTTCCAATATCAAACAAACAAATGAGACTCAGGCTCATATCAAAACACTTCATACTTCCCGTTTGATACACATTTTAGTGCTGTATCAATAAAAACACTTCAATATAAATAAGCACACATAAAAGTGATGCTAATGGAGTCCATCCCCTATCTCCTCCCAAACAAAAAGCCGGTTTAGAGGTCCATCCCCTATCTTCCCCTAAACCGTGGAGTACATCCCCCATCTCCTCCCACACACAAAACAATGTATGCAAATGCAATGCTCAATCAATACACGTATTTTCTGTATTAATTCAAGTCAAAATTAATGACTAATAACCAATGTGATAAGTTTCAGTTATCCCTAATCCACATGCAGCGTCTACAACAAGCACGACTATCCTCCACCGATAGCCAAAAACAGTTATTTCTAGACTCAAAAAAAAATAAATATACCAACAATTCAATAGACGAGTGATTTAAATTATCCAACTACACCATTTAATCAAAGAATTCCTCAATTTCATGCATTTAATCAATTTCCCCAATTTCCTTAAATTAATTGTACAAATTAATTTATTAATACAACTAGGGTTTTTCCCAAAATTACCAAAGTAACCCCAACATATCAATATACCAAAACTTAGAACAAAACTTATAAAATGGAGTAGGAAATCCCTACCTCGAAGAAAATAACCCGAATGGAGAAGACAGAGATGAAAACCCAAATACCAATGTGCTCCAAATCGCCAAATGTTCAGATTAAATGAAAGCCCTCGACCCCCTCTATCTTTTTAATAAAGTAACTAGGGTTGAAACACTCTCTAAACAGATCAAACCTAAGAGAGAAGGTGAGTAGGGAGAGAGAGAGGTCGAACCTGGGGTTTTGAATCAAAAGAATATGAAAAAGACTAATCAAATCCCGCTGCTGTGTA